TGTGTGTGTGTGCGCGCGCGCGCGCGAGTGGTGCTTTCGCGCGCACAGACACACTGGGACACACACAGAGACACTTATATATATATATATATACACGTACACACAAACCCCCCCCCCCCTCTCCCTACATATACACACCTACGCGCGCGCGCGCGCGCGCGCGCGCTCTCTCACTCACACCCCGTCCGCGCGCGCGTGTTCGTGTGTATATTCATATATATATATATATATCTATAAATAAATATATATATATATATATATATATATATATAAATAAAAAAAAAAAAATATATATATATATATATATATATATATATATATATATATATATATATATATATATATATATATATATATATATATATATATATATATATATATATATATATATATATATATATATATATATATATATATATATATATATATATATATATATATATATATATATATATATATATATATATATATATATATATATATATATATATATATAGTTTTCGTCCCTCAAAATTGCACTGATTTCACATTTGGTCCCACATGTTTAGGAAAAACATATTTGGTCCTTATATTTCAAAAATTCAACATTTTTAGTCTTTTTCGTCAATTTTACGTTACAAATAACGGAATCAAGCGTGTTCCATACTACCTTAACTCCATACTACCTTAACTAACCGACTAACGGTAAACTGACGGAAATGACCAAAAGTGTTAAATTATTGGAACATGAGGGACCAAATTTGTAATTGATGCAAACTTGAGGGGTGAAAACTGTAATTTCCCATATATATATATACCACCGCTGACCTGGAGAAGGGTCGTCGGCGCTTTTCCAAGAGAAGATGTAGGTTTCTAAACCCGTCGCAAAATTCCGACCGACTCTCATTCCCGGTAAGTACGTGTCCCCCGGCTGGTCGAAACTCTGCCAGACGGCGGCGCCGGCGCCGCCGTCTCTGACGACGATGTTCCCATCGTCGAGCAGCTGGGCGACGGGGTTCTGAACGGGCCGTGAGGAATTGGACGACCAAATAACGGTGCCGCTAGTTTCTCCGTCGAAGAGAGCTAAATTACCTGGAGGAGTGATAACCCTTAAAACGCCGTTTCTGCCGGCGAGTGGAGTTTCCCGGTTCGCCACCCAAACGATCGTCTGAACCGGTAGATTCTTGTACCACAGTCCTAGGTAGCGATTGGTGGAATTACCAGGGCTGAAGAAACCCAGCTCGAAAATCCCGCCGGAAGAAATTAGGGTTCCGCCGCCATCTCTGATTGTTTGAGAGGTGTTTAAGGTATCTGTTGCAGCTGATGAAACCTGCGACGAAACAAGAAACGGCGATAGTGTCAGAAGTAAGGTAAGAAACTTCATTTCAACAGTTGTCTGCATACTTTACTTTCTCTCACTACTTTGACTAATTAATCTTAATTGTATATGATAGGAATTAATTAGTGGCGGGTTAAGAAGGGTGGTGGTTATTTACGTAAATACCCATACATTGAATTTTCTAATCAGCAATGTTCCGAAACGGAATTTTCGAACACCCTCGATTTCGATCTGAAAATTAATGTTCGGGACGATGTATATTCTATATTCAATTCCGAATGTTTTGAATTTTTGCGTTTTTCGATTTTTTTATGGGAATATATGAGATTGAGATTTTAATTTCTCAAAATATTTTAAAAAGTTTCGATTATTTTACGAGAATTACACTTATAATAACCAATAATGATATTTATTTTAACAAAATTGTTGGTACTGGTAAAATATTTGGTTGATAAAATTCATATTTAGTCAAATCTGATATTACATTTAAAATCTGTAATTAAATGATGCTATTTGGTTAAATTAGTAGTACCTCTCTCCTTTGCTATTAATTTTGTAGGTGATGAATAAAAGTAGAAAAGACGACCTTGTCCTTAAAGTTATATCCTAATTTTGTTAATTAATTGCTTTTTTAGACATTTCGCATTTAATATCAGAATGTAACAAAATTAATACAAGATTGAATCTAATGAAACAAACATCTTACTAACTAAATAATTAATTCTTCTGTTAAATATTAACTCCAGTCAAATATAATTCGATATAATACCCGATATAGATAAACAAACGAAGTTGTAGAGAAATGAAGCATCATCACATTGATTAGCCAATTAAGGCGACCAAAGTCAACTATTGCGTTTGACAAATACATACGTGTGAGAAGACTTTGGTGTACACGTGGACATTTGTTTCTAGATGTTTCAATTTTGACAATAGAAAATTTGAAACTTTGGTGAAAGATTTCCAAGAACGACTGCTGGAGGCTGTGCCTGCTGGTCGTCTTCTCCACCAATTTAATGAATTTCTTTGTCATCATCATCATTCATAAGTATATTTATTTAAATTTTTTTATAATATAAATAACTTTTAATAATAAAAAAAAAAAAACCAAAACTGAGCTTCAGCTCGAGCTCGTCAAAATCGTATTTTGTATTACTCACTTCAAATAACAAGTGTAGCCTTTTGGGATATTATATTTGAGTGTTGAGAAAATATTTTTTGTATAAATCTAGTCTCGATAAGACCTTGATTGTTTTTTTAAGAATAAACGGTGTAGGTTTTGTGGCAACCCCGTTGATAGGTCGGGTGTTAATAACCGAGCCATTTCGAAAGCAACGCAGGGATGGGTGAAAAGTATGGTGGTGTGATTTCGGGGTCGTGATCGAGGACATTTTTAAATTAGATGCTAAAAGACTCGATATATTTAAAAAAAAATATTAATGTCGGAATTACCCGACAACTTCGAAAATAATATTACACCTATCTTGTATTAATTACATATGAAAGAAACGATTTTATTTATCTACCCGCCAGCATTGTGATGGTGACATCATTCGTCGAATTCGGTGCATTCGTGCTGGTCGAGCTCCGAGCAGCAAGAACATCTCTCTCCGTGAAGAAACCGGGTTGCTTTGCTTGAGCAAACACACCTTCGTTTCCCAACATCAAAACCACAGACGACATATTCGGCCTATCTTCCACATTTTGTTGCACGCACAACAAACCAACATGAATCGATCTCGTCACTTCCGCCGAGTGAAACGAGTCCCCTACCGTAGTGTCCAATAGATCTATTGATCTCCCTTCTTTATAAAGCGTCCACGCCTGTCAGAAAAAAAATCGTGAACACTAAGAAAGACGTTTTTACCCCTATGCATCGCTTTTCGTGTTCTTGATATTGAATAATAAATAAATAACTAAATAAAAGCTTACGTGTCCTAGAAGGTTGAGATTGCTATCATTGTGGGAAAATCCTCGGTTTCTCTTGCCACTCACAATTTCCAGTACTAGAACGCCGAAGCTAAACACGTCCGATTTTACGGAGAATAGTCCGTCCACTGCATACTCCGGGGCCATGTAACCACTGCAAATCGATGTTAAAAATGGAAAGAGTTACATAGGAGTTTGCTTTGAGATATGTATAGTTACTAAATATTAAATGATTCACATCACTAAATACAGTAGAACCTTGATAAATTAATACTCGATAAATTAATAATTTCACTTAAATAATAAATATTTTCAGTCCCCACTCAGTAAAAACGTACTAAATTACTAGTTCGATAATTTAATATTTCGCTAATTAATAGAATTTTGTTAGTCCCGACTGTATTAATTTATAGAGGTTTAAATGTACTTATATTTTTAACAAGAATTCGATGCTTACTATGTTCCAACAACGCGACGTGTCTTAGCTTGAGTCTCGTTCCCTCCGAAACTCCTCGCCATTCCAAAATCGGAAATCTTCGGATTCATTTCGGAATCTAGTAAAACATTGCTCGCTTTCAGGTCTCGATGGATAATCCTCAATCGAGAATCTTGATGGAGATACAATAGTCCCCTAGCGATTCCGTTGATTATACTGAAGCGCGTTTCCCAATTAAGCGACGTGCTTTTGTTCGGATCTGTCGAAACATTTAATTTTGTTTAAGTCATTTTTGAATAACCTAATGTAGAGCTCGAGCTTAACCCCAAAAAAAAAAAAAAATCTACCAAATAAAATAACGTCGAGGCTTTTGTTGGACATGTATTCATAAATCAGCATATTTTCGTCTCCTTCGATGCAGCATCCGAGTAACCGTACCAGATTCCGATGCTGAAGCTTTGCAATAAAAATGACTTCGTTTTCGAACTCATCACGCCCTTGCATCGAGTCCTTCGATAATCGCTTCACAGCAATTTCTTGACCCTCTTCCAAAACGCCCTATATATAAATTCGGATATTGTTCATCACACGAAAGTTGCAATTATTTTCTAAATTCGAAGCAATGCCTATGTTTTCATTTTATTTTCGTTTCCGGCCAAACGGCCCATTCACCGAGAGTTAAATTCAAATTAAATAACTCCGTAAAAAATATTAAAACACTTTATTACCTTAAAAACAGGACCGAAACCACCCTCTCCAAGCTTATTGTTCAACGAGAAGTTATTAGTAGCTTTCGAAATTACAGATAAATCGAACAACGGTAGCTCCGAGTCCGTGTCACGGCTTCCATTAATATTTCCTACAACATATGAAAAAACTTTGAAATTTAAATTAATTCCTCGTTTTTTCTTCATATATCAATTAAATTAGACGTGCTCGTTTTTTTTACCTTCTTTTCCAATCTTTCGAGCATTCTTCGTCTTTCGAAAGCGTAGAAAGATGAATAGGCACGTAATAAGTATTACTCCGATCACCGATGTCAAGCTAACTATGAGAACTACTTTGTTCCCTTTTTTAGAACCTGCAAAATTATTAATTGAAATCACACCAATAAATCGTTTTGGATTGTTGCGCACAAATCAAGAAAAAATATTTATGGAATATATATGAAAATTACTAAAATACCCTTGTCAATAATTGTTTCTCAGTTAATTATCTTTGAATAAATCAAGAGTAATTTATATAAGGGCAAAATTGGAAGAAAAAAAAATGTAATCAATATTTCATATGATCGGAATTCTAAAATGACAAATAATTTAAAAATTAGTACTCGATTCAGAAGAAGCCATTCTAATGTAAATATCCTGTCCATCGGGAGAAAAACTTCGAATGTCGACCAAATCCTCGTACCAAACCAAACACCCGCTGCCTTTACTCACATCCAACTGCGTGTACGCCGTACAATTACAATTCCTCAAGCACTCGCCCCTGCATTCATCGAGCGTCATGCTCATATTAGACCACGAATACGTAGCGTCGGGCAATTTTACACTCGAGTATTTCAAGAACACGTCTCCCTCGCAACTCAAATTATTCCTCCTCACACATCCGCTCGACCAATCAGCTCCAACCCAACTCTCCCAATCCCTAGGGACGAATCTGTCCAAACACCCGCACGACGGTGAGTTCCCAATCTGGCAAATACCGTAGGGCCCGCACAGCCCGTAAGTATCGCATATATCGCCCGGCATGTTCATGTACACCACCCACTCTTGCCTCCTGTCGACCCAGGTCCACCTCTGGGCGACCCCGTTGGGGCTTATCGTGAACCGCGAAACGACCGATTTGTCGACGGGGTCCTCGCGGTAGGTGACCTCATTCTCGTCCATCACAAAAGTCAACTTGTAAGTGGGATCCGCTCTGGGGTTTCCGGCCCCACTGAACCCAACCCCCCAGATCCAGGGCCCCACTCTAAACACCACCGCAGATGCGCCTCGTTTGAGGAGTATCTGCGGATAACCTGTTGGGTCCAGGTGGAAACTGTACTCACCTGTAGTTAGTGACGAATCCATAGATATCTATCTATCTATATATATATATATATATATATATATATATATATACACACACCTGGGGAAGGGTCGTCGCTGCTTCTCCAGGACAAGAAGTAGGTCTCCGAACCCGTCGCTAAATTCCGACCTAATCGCATACCCTGTAAGTACGTGTCCGACGGATGATCGAAACTCTGCCAGAGAAGGGTAGTTTCGTCATTTGCATCCCTGACGATGATGTTTCCGTTGTCGAGCAGCTGCACGACGGGGTTTCGAGCTTGCCTGGAGGAATTCGTCGACGACCATATAACGGTGCCGTTAGTTTCGCCGTCGAACAGAGCTAAATTACCTGGAGGAGTGATAACCCTTAAAACGCCGGTTCTGCCGGCGAGTGGGGTTCCCCGGTTTGCCACCCAAACGACGGTCTGAACCGGTAGATTCTTGTACCACAGGCCTAGGTAGCGATTGGTGGAATTTCCGGGGCTGAAGAAACCCAGCTCGAAAATCCCGCCGGAGGAAATTAGGGTTCCGCCGCCATCTCTGATTGTTTGAGAGGTGTTCAGGGTGTCTGTTGCAGATGATGAAACCTGCGACGAAACAAGAAACGGCGACAATGTCAGAAGTAAGGTAAGAAACTTCATTTGAACAGTTGTCTGCATACTTTCTCTAACTTTGACTAACTAATCTAGTTATCTAATTGATAAAGGGCCAAGAAGGATGTGGTTATTTAAATATAATTTTCACATGGTTAATACGGTTTACGTCTCTCGTATGTTTCGATTTTCGATTTTCGGTTTTTAAAATTTTTTTTAGAAATTTTTTGTTTATTTACCAAAAATAACACCTACAATGTCAACGTTAATATGTACTATATATTATAGGTGAATAGAAAGAAAAAAAATTAGAATTTTCGAATGCCTCTGATTTCAATCAAGAAATTCTAAAATTTAGAACAAGTTTTTTAACTACCAATTTTCATAATTTCAATTTTCTTTTGAAATGGTTTCGGAATTAGTTTTATGATTGGGACAAAAATATATTTTTAATTTTTAATTTTGATCTCATTCGTCGGATTTCAACCGTAAATAAATCAGCCACGCCATGCATCACATCACATATGCATCAGTGATTAGCCAAAATTTTTGTCTTTGAATTTTATGTGAAAAGACTTTGTGCACATGGCTATTTCTTATTGGATGTTTTTTTCTGTTATGGAGAAAAAATTGCAAAGTTGTTGATAGATTTCGGTTATTTCTACTATATTCGCTGATTTTTACCATTAATCTACACATCAATATGAGTGCGTTTATTTGTATGTATATAAATACTAAGAATTTATCCAATATATTTCAACAGGTGCATCATATAATCGACCGAGTTCGTGAAGGAAGAAGACTTTCAGCTTACAGCGGTCGTTCTTGGAAATTTATGGTCTATTATATTCTACACGAACTCGGTCAACGTTGAAAATTGGGATTTTGCTTCTCTCATTTTCCTTACTATCTTGATTGACTAATGATAACTATGTTATTTATTCCTAAAAACCGACGAAACTAGAAAATTATAGGTGGGGGAGAAAATTAATAAATATCTAATAATTCAAGAAAAAGATGAAATAATATTTTTTAAATGCTATATGGTAAATGATAGATTATCTTTATGACGTATGGTCAATTTATGAAAAAATCCCTCTTGTCCCTCAGTTATGATTTTTTCTTACATCTCCATTCTTATGGTGCTAAATTCAACATAATCATCTAAATTTCGTGGAATGTGCTATAATTTGTACTCGTTTTGTGTAAAAATACAATTTTTGATGCACCACAATCTGATATATACAAACCAAAATATACATATTACGATTATCTTGCTTCAAAATGTGGAGTTTGAATGGGATAAAACAGCTACAAAAGTGATAATATTCCATATAATCTCGAAGATTCCACTAAATTTGAAACCGCAATGGTGGAAGTGTAAGAAGATTTATAGTTGAGATTTTTTTTTTTTGTAATTACCCAAATAATAGGGAGATTTTTGTAATTCAACCATACCTCGAGAGTGGTTGTAATTTACCCAAAATAAAATTATCATGTATTTTGTCCCATGAAAAAAATTCTACACAATTATAAAACAAAATTAATTAATGAAAATAAGCAAAATTAACATGTATTTTTTTTATCACTTCAGAACTAATCTACTTGTGAGTGGAAATCGAGCGGATTGGATCACGGTTTCTTTCAAAAGTGAAATATCAATTCTGATTCGAGATAATACAGTTTTCATCCTTCAAGTTTGCACCGATTTCACATTTGGTCTTTATGTTTACAAAAAACACATTTGGTCCCTCATGTTTTAAAAATTCAACACCTTTAATCATTTCTGTCAATTTTCCATTAAAACTTAACGGAATCAAACGTGTCCACATTACATCGAAATTTGATGGACTAGCGATAAATTGACGGAAATGACCAAAAATATCAAATTGTTGAAATATAAATGACCAAATATGTTTTCTGTGAATATGAACACCAAATGTGAAATCGTTACAAACTTGAGGGATAAAAATTGTAAATTTTCCATTTTGATTCCAATCCATAAAAAAATCATCCGATTATGGGACAAGTTTTCTTATCCCAATCTTCAAAATTCCATTCTTTTTATTGTTCTAAAATATTTTGGCACAATAAAAACTTGTTTTTAACAATTTCAATTCCATGGGATTTTCACCAAATAAAAAGACAATTATACCCCCAGAATCGTTCTTCTCCCAATTCCAAGATCGGATTTTTCACCAAATGAAAAGACAATTATACCCCCATAACCGTCTTCTTTCTCTCAATTCCAAGATCGGATTTTCACCAAATAAAAAGACTATTATACCCCCAGATCCGTCTTTACTCCCAATTCCAAGATCGGATGTTCACAAAATAAAAAGACCATTATACCCCCAAAACCGTCTTCTTTCTCCCAATTCCAAGATCGGATTTTCACCAAATAAAAAGACCATTATACCCCCAGACTCGTCTTCTTTCTCCCAATTCCAAGAAAATTCCGTAAACAAATATTTAAGGGACATTAAGATATAGGTCCCTAGTGGCAAAGCTTATTAGAACTAAATGACAAGTCCAACTAAACCTTTGTTATACATCCTTTACAAATTTCATTCCAAAAATGCCCTCCCTTTATGAAAAATGAAATATGCACCAAGTAATATTTAAACTGCTTTTATCGTTTTTTATTCTACATTTAACATTTTTTTTTTGCACCTAACATTTTTATTATAATGTTATTTTATGTATAACGTGTTTCTCAGTTTTTTTTTCTTTTTGGTATTTTTTTCTTTTTGGTATTTTTTTCTTTTAATATTTCATATCTTTTTAATTTGCTTTATACATTTTTAACTATTAATTTTTTTTTTATCGATAAATGCAGAATATGAAATCACAATTTAATTATTCATAGTTCCACGTAGTCATTTATAGTCATCCAAGTCGTATATCCAACTTCACAGCATACTCTGAATATTTATGATAACCCATAGTCACTTGTATAGTAACTCGTAGACAATTATAGTAACCCAGTCACGTGTAGTAATCCATAGACAACTCTGAATATATATATATATATATATATATATATATATATATATATATATATATTCGTAGTAACCCATAGTTACTTGTAGTAATCCGTAGACAACTATAGTCACTCTGAAACCCTAGATCCACCCTCTTAAACCTTCGCGCCGACCCTTCGATTCACAACGCCGTCAGACTCGTAGACTACTGCAGTCATTCTTAAAATCATAATATCACCCTTTTGAACTCGAGAGCCGCCAACAAACGAAGAACAACCACCGTTCAGCCGTCCTCGCCTTGTAAGCAATTAAACACACACCTACCATGGATTCACCCAACCCTTGTCGCCGCCGAAAACGTGCAACAACCAGACCAACGTCGTTGAAACACATCACCAACCCATCCCTGCCGCCCCCTAACCACCACGTGCAGAAAAGGGTGATGCAATCTCCCCTTCCCATCAGCCCTAGGCGAATCGGGGACTGCAACGCCGCCACATAAAGCTCCCCCGGGATAGCCGCCGTCGCCGCTGATTACAGATCTGTTCTCCGCCTCAAAACATCAAAAATTCAGATCTACTAAAGATACAACAAAAGAAAAAAAAATGGGGAGTCAATGGAAGATGTTGAGTGCCACAAAAATAATATAGAACGAAAATAAGAGAAACATAGAGAAGGGAGCAGTTGGGCGGCGCATCAGAGGAGAGAAGGGTTGAGAGAGAGAAATAAGAGAATGGGAGAATGAAAGAGTCACGTGATATTTAATTAGGTGTACTAAGGGTATTTTGGGGTTAAAAATAAATAAAATGGTGTATGTCAAATTTTATTTAGGACTAAGGATTTAGTTAAAATATTCTATTTAAGGTTGTCATTCACATCTAATTAGGTTTGATTTTAGGGGTGTCATGCATATTACCCCAATATTTAAATACATCATGCATAAAAATTTAAAACCGCCGACTCATTCACTGTCACTTAGCTGTCAAAACGACGTCGTTCCCATGGTTCCTCCCTCTTTCTTGGAACCCCTTCTCACCGTCAATTCTTCCCACCCTCTATATCACACTTCCCTTCTTCGCCCAATTCATCCCCAAATTAAAAAAAAAATCCAATTTCTTCAATTTAGAAAAATTCAATTTTAATGGCGTCGAAAGATCAGTCAAATTTCCATGATTTCCTGCCCCTAATGGCGGAGAAGCTCGGCGGCGACGGGCTGATCGGAGAGCTCTGCAATGGGTTCCGATTACTGTCGGATTCCGACAAAGGGGTGATCACATTCGAGAGTCTGAAGAAGAATGCGGCGTGTTTAGGGCTTGAAGAATTGTCCGATGAGGATCTTCTGGGAATGCTGAAAGAAGGGGATTTTGACGGAGATGGAGCCCTAAATCAGATGGAGTTTTGTGTGCTGATGTTCAGATTGAGCCCTGATTTGATGGGTCAATCTCTGTTTTTGTTGGAAGAAGCTCTTCTTCAAGACTCTAACTTTTCTTAATCATCGTCATATATATATATATATATATATATATATATATATATATATATATATATATATATATATATATATATATATATATATATATATATATATATATATATATATATATATATATATATATATATACATATGGTATTTGTCTAATTGATCTGATTTTGTTGATGGATTGTTTTAACTTGTTATTTACCAGTTGGTTATTGTAGTTGTTGTCTGGTGATTATAAATTTCGAATTGTATACGGGAAATTCGATGGAAGAATAAACGGAATTTGTTTCGATGTTTTTCGATACTGCATTACCTTCTTGTACTTGTGTTTTGTCAACGCGTTTTAGATGATAAAATATCGAAGATGGTAATGCATTGTGGTGGAAATTGGACCAGAAATTTTGATTTTCGCCGATTTCGATCTGAATTTTTTTTATTATGGGATTACATTTTTCATTCCGAATTCCGAAAGTTCCGATTTTTATGATTCTTTTTTTGCTGAACGCAGTTGGAATACATAGTCGATTCCAATTGTGTCGATCCGATTTTAATTTCAGAAAATTTCGATTATTTTTCAAAAATTACACTTATAACAATACCAGTATATTATAGGTGACTAAAAAATTCTATTGAAATTTTTTCGTTTCTGGAACGAAAAAATTCATTATGATTTCCAATTTTCCTATTTTTCAGGGACGGAATTGGAATTAGTTTCACTCCAAACAAAAATTGACTATTTTTTTGGCCGAAAGTGTTAATTTTGATCCGTCCGGTTTCGAATCCCGGTGCAGATTTAAAAGTCACATTTCAAAACTCCAATGTGGGTAGGGAAGAAATTTATCCATTTTTTTCTGGGCAAAAAATTGCTGTGAAGAGGCTATCACAGAGCTCTCTGGTGATTATAAATTTCGAATCATATACAGAAATCCGACGGAATAATAAACGGAATATACACGAAGTTTTTCGATACTGCATCACCTTCTTGTACTTATATGTTATGGATGATTACTGGTGTATGCATGTATGCATGTATGTATGTATGTAGGTATGTCAAACACATTAGAGATCGATAAAATATCAAAGATGTAATGCAGATTAAAAAACTCACATTTCAAAATCATGCTATCCAAAATGCCTTCGCCTATAGTACGATACCTAGGGGTGGAAATCGAATGGATCAGTTTGAAATAAGTACTTTCGGACAAAATTCTGATTTATTTCAGAAATGAAAAATCTATTTCAATTTTGTTCTGAAGAAAAATTAGAAATCGGAATTTTTAAAACTGTAATGAAAAAACACGTTCTATAGTCAGAAATTGTCTGACTATTGATAGTGTAGGATCTACACTTTTAAGACCTCCCTCTAAAACCCTACTTCTTTAAGACCGTAAGAACATACACAAGACTTCGGATCTTGGTACACAAGACTTCGGATCTTAGTGAAAAATATATTCCAATTATGTTATGAAAAACCATAGAAATCTTGGAATTTTGAATGAAAAAAACTCTTTCCAAAATCGGAATTTTTCGAATTGGAGCTGAATTCGCAAATTCCTAATTTATAGTCACCTAAAACATAATTTGTATGATAATTAATATTGATATTATAAGTGTGAATTCGGAATTTTCGGAATTTGAAATCGGATCGAAAATCGAAATCTCATATATATATTCCAATTTCGAATTTAAAATGAAAAATATTTCTCCAGAATTAGAAAAAAAAAAAAAAAGATTGGAATCGACGGAAATAAAAAATTCAGTTTCAATTTTCACCCCCTAATGGTAGCTCAATATATTTAAAGAATTTTAATAATTAATTAGGTAAAGAAAGAGATGAGGGTTGACGTGGCCGGCCATCTTCCAATGGATGCATTTGAATGTGACCATTCGATGAAAGTCACTAAAGCTATGGCTGATAGCTCTTCCTCTTAAATAAATATACAATTTTCCCTTTCTTTTATTCGATAAAATAATAAATGTATACTTACATAATAATTAATAAACCCTTTAAAGAGGGGTTCCAATTGGCCACCTTTCTTACTTCCACTATCATATTCCAAACATATAAACAATTCTAAAGTGAGATTTTGCAATTCATTACACTTCTCATAACTCAATTATTCCTGTCATTTCTTTTGGAAATTTAAAATATATATATATATATATATATATATATATATATATATATAATATATACAAATAATAATCAAGTACGCATGCCGTTCAGTGCATCTAGTTGGTGAAGTAATAGAGTACATGTGTCAAATGATTCGATCGAATCCCTTTTGTCAATGTTTTCTAGGTCAATGTTTTCTAGGTCAAGTTTTTTATATATGGCTTATTTATACCTAAATATGGTTTATATATCTCGTGTGGTTTGCAAGGTCTTGCACGAGAGTGAAAATTTATTACTTGCAGTTACTAATTGTCGATATAAGTTTCACTTTTAATTTCATCTTTGCACAAAGATTAAAAATATTAATAAATTTGACTTGATTTTAGAAAAAATAAATATGGAGACCAAAATAATTTTTATTATTTAATAATGCGATAAGAGATTTAATATGTAACATGGTTGAATTAATACGTGTAAAACAAAATAAACAAAAATATATAACAAAAATTTATAAAATAAGTAACAATTATTATGGAACATAGGGAGTAATTAAACTGAACGTGAAGCTAATATTTTCGTTTACATAAAGGAGAAAAAACTCTAAATAATTATACGTAGTTTTTATATATAAGTATGTCACTGAACGCATAAATTGTCTAATATTGGATACTAAAAACTTATATTTAGAAATTACAAAATTCAATTTTTTTTATATTCGACTATCTTAATGCGGTTAGTAATATATTTTCAAACAATCGCTAATTAGAAATATATATTTACCGTGCATCGTACATAATTAATGGATGCATTATTAGGAATATTGGATTCACTACATGTAATAATGCACAATGTTACTTTCCACCATAAAAGCACCTATAATAAAACAAAAATAATATCCTTAATCCATTCTTTAATTATGTTTGTACTTAATTTCACTGATTATTAGTAATTCCTAACCCAACCTTTAATCATGATTATTCAATTATTACAAGACTAAGAATATAATATATACAATATCATACAATTTAGTCATAATATAATCATTTGGCCAAAACTCCATCATTATTTTTCTTTTCTTTTTTCATTAAAAAAAAAAAAGCATTAGGGCCTACAATTATTTCTATCTTATCATGTAATAATTAATTTTGTTAATTTTTTATTCGGGCCGGGCTTAAAAGGCTGTAATTAATTTGCTTATCTGAAAGTTGCTCCAAATGTAGGTGTCCAAAAATCACCTGCACAGCTTGTTTCGTGATCAGTCACCGGGTAAGTGTTCGAAATCGGCACTAAACATAATCCTCGACTTCTAAGATCTTGTCGCTGCCCTTCTCGATCGTTCGATTTATCGAAACTCTGCAGTATAAATTACGCAAAATTAATTAATTAATCGAAGAGTATAATTATTAATTTATATATAATATTTAATAATTACATGCAGTAATATATACCTGCTGATGCTTTATGGGAGCTTCACTTTCCATGTATGGGCTACTTAGGACCTGATCAAGAATTAATGAAATTTCATAGAAATAAAAAAAATAAAACAACTAAAATAATTATTTTAAGGTTGTAATAATAATTTTTTTTTTATGCAGCAATTAATTCAGAAAATATAATTAGATCATGACTTACACTTAGTTGTCCATGCAGATATTTTATGCATTCAGTTGCTTCAGATAGTACAGAAGCTGTATCAGTCTGCAAATTATAATTACATATGAGATATATACAGTAGAAACTCGATAAATTAATAATATTCTTGCTTAAATAATAGTTTTTTCTGATCCCAACTCGGTAAAAATATACTAAATTATTAGTTCTATGATTTAATGTTTCGCTAAATTAATGGAATTTATATATATATATATATATATATATATATATATATATATATATATATATATGTATATATATATATATATATATATATATACCTTTCCAAAAGGTGAGACTAATTGTTGAAGTGCTGTTATTCTGTCACCCATCTTCTCTTTTCTGACCTAATTAATCAAGAATAAAAGATAAATGATTATATATACATATCATGATCTTTTTTTAATTTTTTTTTAAGAAAATAAAATTAAATTGAAAGAAATTTCATCAAAAATAAATAAATTAACATGCATATACCTTAAAAGCTGGCGAAGACGAAGGCGTTTCGTTCCGAGGCCGTTTATTTGATGTTTCGGTGTTGTTTTTCTTCGTCGTCGCGCCGTTCTAATTTTTATTTTATTTGAGAAAAAACAAAGTGATCTTCAGCATAATTATTTTAGGAAGAAAAAAAGACAATTAAATTGATCATGAAACCCTAGGAGAGTTCACATGTACTATATATATATATATATATATATATATATATATATATATATATATATATATATAATTTTACCTTGGGCTTTTCATCAAAAGATGGAGCTACAGAAATCTGAGTTTGCAACGGCGGAGGAAAAAAGCTGGATCGAGCATGATGAGTATCAGTACTCATGGCGGCGGCGGTGGTGGGTACAGATGAAGCATTCCAGAAAGGGGTGTTGTTAGTGAAATGCAAATGGCTGCTGCTGGACTCCGGCGGCGGCGGCGGTTGGGGAGTACAAGATGTTCTCAAGAACTGCGGATATTTATTACTCAAAGAGGTGGCGGCGCCGCCGCCATAGCCGCTCGAGGAATACGGACAATTTATTGACCGGTTCTGGAAGGCGGAATGCTGATTTTCAGGCAGTAACAGGCCGTAGGCGGCGGCGGCGGAATCCGCCGCCGCCTGGAAACCGGAGTTTATATTATTCTGAGAGGTTATTGTGCTGTCGTTCGAACTCGCCTGAGAACTACTGAACTGTGATTGATCCAACGAAAAACCTCGGTTGTTCATTTGCTTGAAATCATGTACGGAGGAATATTCCTCCGGCGAAACACCGCCGGAATATACCTTTTGTCTCCACTGTTGTTCACAAGATTCCGCCGCCATGGATTCTTCACCTCTACTGTTCAATAATAAACAAAAAAATAAAATAATTAATTTTGAATATATATATATATGTGTGTGTGTGTGTGTGTGTAAATCTGGAAATACTTACAATAAAGATTGACCCCAATCTACTGACTGAGAAGAAAGGCGGCCTAACCCCATCATACGCAGCTCCCGGTTGACGGCGCCGGCGGCGGCGGCGGAAGCCGTTGCTGCAGTTTCCAACGGCCAGCCGAAGGTGGCTAGGGCGTTTAAGGTTGTCGGAATATTTGAAGCTGGGGTTGTACCACCGCCGCCGTCGAATCTGTTTCTTGATGACGTGTCCCACCAGTTCCCGATTCCCAGGTGAAACTGATCGTCATCCGCCATAGCTAAATTCTTTCGTCTTTTTCTTGTTGAATCTGATCAGTATTTATATATACAGCTGTTAAATAATCAAAGAGTAAGATTTAAATTAATTAATGAGAAGAGTTTGTGGTTGACTTTTTCTCCACAGTGGTTTGACTAAGAAAATGAAAGGTCATCTTGAAAACAAATTCCTACTTATTAATTTATTAATTAATTTATCTCTACATTTATTTAGTTATATTATCTGTTTGTTTAGAATTCCAATTTTACATTATTTATTATTTTTATTAATACTTGTGTCGAAACTTTAAAACAAGAGATATATAATAAAACGGGGGAAATACTAAAAATTAAAAAATTACGATTATTATTTGTCGCTTTGGTTTTAATAATTCATTACGTATTAGTTTTTTCCAGTTAAACCAGTGGTTCAGTCGACCGTTCTAACCGGGATATGTTAATTGTAACTTGCACGTGTTCTACAGATATTTTCGTAGTCCGCGTGCAAGCTAATTCGCGGTTAATGATTCACTAGTCGAACCCGTCTGCGTTCATTTCTATGGTAGCAACTAGCAAAACACAAGGAAATCAATACTCAATAAAAGTATCATAAATTCAAATTTGTTCAGCCGTTAATTCTTTCTCAATTATTTTGCAAATATAATTCGTAAATACATACACAAGAGCAACTCGAGTCGGTTAAGATATT